GTAATTATGGATGGACTCATAATTAATTAAGACTTGAACTGGATCCGCGTTAGGTTGAGATATATTGCGAGAGCCGTCGTATGCAATTACTCCCTATCACCGTCATGGCATTTGACTCTTAAGTATGAGAAAAGTATAGACTCTTTTATTAATTAATAATTACTTTGATTTGTTCGGCGGATTCTTCGGGATCCTTAGACCGACACTTTGGGTAGTTATGTAATTAATAGTTAGAGGGTTATATTTTCAATATTTGCATCATTGCTACTTGTATTTATTTTGTATTGATTATGGTTGATCACAAAGTAAATTCGAAGGCCTTCGTGTGTTTTTAGACAAAATGATTTATTATATATTTATTTATTTAAATTATTATTTTTGTCAAACAAATGTTTTATTGTGATCGAACCAGAAATAATCAAAGGTACCAAAATAAATATATTAATTAAGTAGTCGGATTGATGGCTATATTTATCCGATAACTAATTATGCATAGAGGGGTCAAAGTGCAATATTGACTTAGAGGTTATTTATTATTTAATTGGAGTTCAATTAATTTCTTTTAGTGGAGTAGAAATTAATTTATGAATTAATTGAATTGGGTCCATGGACCGGGCCAATTATTAATTCATTGTAGCCAATAAAATAATAGGCCCAATGGATTCTCACTCATAGCCCAACTTGATATTGGAATCATATTAGATTTGAGACATATGAATTAGAGATGGAGAATGATTTGTTGTTTCCTTTTCTTTATTTTTATGTTGCCTATAAATATACATGGTCTATGTATATTTTGGGGGATGATTTTTATGAAAAAAAAAAAGGAATAAATTTTCTCTCTCTAGAAAATTAGGGTTTATGTTCTCATCTAATGGAGGCTCCCACAAGCCTAATTTTCCAAGGTCATTCAAGGAGGCTTATGAGTGATTCCTAAAGGCAAGACCATTACCAAGAAGATGGAGATCCATGGAAAAGATGTCTAGCAAAAGGGATCTACAATAAGTGAGAACATTCACTTTAGAGGAGAGATCTGAGGTTTACTCAAACCTTGATGTAAGTATTCAATCTTTTAGTTGAATAATACATCATAATTTATTTTATTTTTTTTTTGCATAAAACTTGTCTCTATGTGATGAATCAAGATCTGTTAATTTAAATCCCTCGAAAAGTTTTTAAAACTAGCACGTTTCCCAACACTTTTAACAAAAATCCGCATCTGAAGCATTTTTTTAATTTAGATTCAATAATTAAAATTCATACACATTAAAATAGATTATGAATCAAACCTTAGGTCAAACTCACTCCGTGTCAAATCCCACAAAACTCTAACAAGAGAAAAGATAAGGATGGGGCACCTTATGTAGACAAGGCCAAGTGGTTTCCCATATTCATTCCAATGTCCCACCTAAGAGGGAAATACTAGAGAAATGTTTGCTTTGAATATTAATTTAGGCAAAGTGACTGTTTTTACACATAAATTCTTATTAACTCAAGATTTAAGGTTAAATTGTATCTTAATGTAAAAATATTAAAATAACTGAACATATTGTCTTCTAAATTTCCAATGATTTAGTTATGTTTATGTATACAAAATTATGTACACACCTCCCTTGATTTTGGCTGGTGCCCCGCCTGACCTAGTGCACGAGCAGCACTCGCATGATTCCCTTTTTATGGTTCGTTTTATAGTATAAACACATACCATGCCTTGCAATAACATTGATTGGTTTTTTCTTTTTCTTTTCTAAATTCATTCTTTTTCTATAATTCAATTTCTCATTTTAAATTAAATTTTGTGCTTGTAACCATAGAAATCTTAGTGTCCATGCTTCCTTGTGTCTTTCTATAGTATGTAAAAATTAAATTTAAGTGAAAATTTATATAATCCTAGCTTAGACATTAATGTTCCGTTTAGTAAGAAGGATGCAAAAGTGAGTGTAAAAGAACATTATAAAATTTTGAATGAGACATTCTTAGAGAATGAAATGTATCATCAAACCTTTTCGTTTGATTGGAAGGAGCAGAATGAAAAATATTATATGTTAGTTTTTTATTAATAATAAAAATTTGAGATTAGGGGGAGGGGGAGGGAGAGGATGAGTAAAAAAACAAAAGAGAGAGGGTATTTTAGGTAACAAATTAAAATAAACGGATCAATTTCATTTTTTATAAAAAAAAAAAAAAAATTAAGACTTTTATTTCATTAAATATGTACGACCACATGTAAAGATCACTTTTTTCTTTTCACACATATAATATTTTTTTACTGTTAATTTATTTGCTTTCAAAAGTCTCAATAAATATAACATTATTAAATATGTTTTTCAATAATGGATGTGGTGAGAAAGAGTGAGAGTGAGGGTTAGGGTGTTGAATAATTGAGCTAATATGACCTAAACGACATTTTGGTTGCACACTGGGATCGAAGACTAGTCTTTGATGTGTACGTTTGTTTTTATTTATTATTTTATTTTTATATTTTTTTGATGAAAAGAGAGTGTGAGTAATAATTTTTCATAGGAAGAACTCCAGTGAAAAATGATACATCATTTTGTTTGCGTGCCTGTTAATGATAAATGGGTCGGAATATTTTTTCGCATCATGTACCATTGTTTTCATATTATCACAAAGAGATGAAAGCAAAAAAGAAAGTAGTCGTTAGGTGTGAATAACCCTAATGACCAATTCCTACGTAGGAGAGTGGAGCAAAGTTGTAATAACAAAAGAGCAAAGTTGTTCAATGACATTCTCAAACAAGGTATGATGCAGTCAAGTGGAGGAGAAAAAGTATAATAGTATCTATCTACAAAAATAACGGTGATATATTAAATTGTGACACTTATAGAGGAATTAAATCAATGAGTTATACAATGAAAATACGAAAAATGATAATAGAACAAAGGCTAATTAAAAAAAGAATCCACGACATTTGATTTTTTTTTTTTTGACGAAATGGCAAGAAATTTCACTAATAAATCAGGAAAGAGAACAAGAATATTAGCCTCTTATAGACGAATTTACAGTCATACAACTTTGAATGCATAAGGGAATCTCTAACTATAAAGCTTTTCTAAAGCCCAGCTAGCTAGATAACCCCAAGACATTTGATAACCCATTCGGACTTAGGAGTAAGCAAACAAGTATTACATGTAGTTTTTATAGACTTAGAAAAAACATATGATATATTGGGTCCAGGAGATATAATTTGGTCAGGCCTACAAAGATGAACAAAATTTCCTTACAAATCATTAAAAAAAATTCCAAGATAAAGTGTATGACTACAAAAACTAAAGTTCCTACTACCATGAGGTGAAAATGGAGACAAGTTACATTGGGATTTTATGTTATAACATATTGGTTTATATATAGAAATAATTGTAAGACTAATTATGTTGTATAGAGCGGGGTCGTGGATCTTAAAAAAGAAATAAGAACAACATTTCCATGTAACGGAAATAAGAATGTTAAGGTGAAGGATCGTTAATGAAAATGTGAATGAAAAATTAGGTGCAACACCCATTAGTGAGAAAATTCGAAAGAGTAGATTATAATAGTTTGGACACATACATTAGAGACATGCATAGAGGGCGGCCAAAAATCATATGTGATTATTAGGGGTGCATACGGTTTGGTTTGGGCCAGTTTGAGCACTTTTTGAAACCAAATCGATCCTGACGGTTCTAAAAAATTTAGAACCAAATCAAACCATTTAACCAAAGGAACCAAATCAAACCAAACCGTGTCTCACGGTTTGGTTCGAATCAGTTCCACGGTCCCTTTTTTTTTTCAAATGCATAACAATTAACTAAGTTAACCAACACATTCACAATTGTTAATATATTCAGAACTTTAATTCATTTTTTTCTGTCACTTCTGCCACAATTCAAAAAATCAACAAAATTCAGCCATTGTAAATAAAAAAAAAAATAAGAATAATCTAATAAATTGATAAGACATAAGAAAATTAAGTGTAGACTGTAGGATTGATAGTTGTTACAAACTTTTAAGTGATTTGAATTGTAAAACTATATATATATATAATTTAACATATATATAACTAAACAGTTCGGTTCGATCTAGTTTGGTGCTAAAGGATCTCAAACCGTGACCAAATTGTGTCTTTACGATTTCACAAATTTAGAACTGTATTGAACCAAAAGTTAGCAAATTGAACCAAACTGTCCGGTTCGGTTTAATCCAGTTTGGATTTTCAGGTTGATCGAATTTTTGTGCACCCTCTAACGATTATAGAGTTTGACAAGAGAAAATTCCTCATGTGTATGGGAATTAGGGAAGGAAGAAGAATTTCAATTTAATTGCCAAAGTTATGATTAAATTCTCCTAAGAGCAAAAATTTTAGTTTGTAATGCAGCCACCTTTGTCGTTAGCCAATAAAATAAATTCACCAAACCACAAAGACCAGCGAGCCCGTCTAGCTCAGTTGGTAGAGCGCAAGGCTCTTAACCTTGTGGTCGTGGGTTCGAGCCCCACGGTGGGCGTCAATTTTTTTCTCATTGAATTTGTCTTTGATTCTGGGCCTCGGATTGAATTTGTCTTTGATTCTGGGGCTGGGCCTATGAAAAAATGGGCCCAATAATTATATTAGTCTTGTGATTTCTAATAGCCCAACTGAAGAGGCCAGACGAAACAACTGGCCCAATATCCTTGATTAGTATATGCTATATAACGCCGGTGGACACGGTCCACACGAGTCGGCAGGAGCGTGTCTCTTGTGATGATTCCACGTGTCTTTCATCAAACCACACACAACATCCCCACGCAGTGTTGGGCTGCCGAACTCCAACCGTTCAACGACAAATTCGTTTACCCCCAAAGTTTCTCCATTTTACCAAACGAACCACTGTACACTACACAAAAAACCTGATCATCGTGATATTGATGACATCCAACCACAATCGAACAGCTGGCACCCAAAATAAATGGCAACAACGTAATTAATAAACCAAATGGTGTCGATTCCAAAATCGTTCTTTCCCTTAAACCTCATTTCCACATTCAAACCTTCTCCAAGTATCGCTTTTCTCTCTCTAACTAAAACCCCCACTTTCTCTCACTATTACCGCCGCCATGGCCGGACTCTGCCGCTTCAGAGTGGCAGCGCCACCGGAGACGCGACGTCGTCTAGGGCTCATCGCGAGCCGAGCCTATGGATCGGCGGCTGCGGCTCAGGTCTACTACGATTCCGACTACGACGATGAGCACGAGAGCGAACTGTGCCGGAATCGGCACCGGACGATGGAAGAGTCGGAGGGATGGGTGTCGGGAAGGGGAGTGCAGTGGGTGATCATGGGGGACCCACTCGCCAAGAAGCACTTCTACGCTGAGAGGCTCTCGAAGCTTCTAGAAGTTCCCTACATTTCCATGGGCACTCTCGTTCGTCAAGAACTCCACCCCCTCTCTTCTCTCTACAAACAGGTCACACCTTTCTCCCTCTTTGTTTTTGTTTAGCCCTTTGTTTGGTTGCCAAGAAATGAAAAGATTTTATGTTATTCATGTTTCCACAAAAATGTATTCTGTTCTTGACCATGACAATATGGTTTGTCTTGAATTCTGAGTTGTAACTAACTAAATTAAGAATGTATAGATAATCACAAATGTTCACACAGTGAGCCTTATATATGTGTGTCTTTATAAATTCCATTATCTTTATGATTAATAATTATCATGAAAGTTCTTATTGTCAATCTTCTGTTTAAATTGTGGCCAATATGCTATATTATCACTTATGAGTTGTAACTTGCTAAATCGAAAGTATATTGTGGTAATTATACTTGAAGACACAAAAGCGTAGGGAAAGTTTTTATTATTTTTTATTATTTTTGTTGTTGCTGGGACACTGAATCTGAGTTCTTGGACTACAAATCATCATAGTTGATGTGTGTGTATATATCATCCTTGTTTCTGTTTGTTTATGTGTTCCCCAGTGGTTAATAATTGACATCATACCTCTAATTTTCAATCATCCGTAAGCCCATAACTTTACTACTTCAGTGAAATTGTGATTTGCATAGCTGAGTAAAGCCTTAACCCCAACTACTTGGGTTTGGCTACATAAATTCTTTTTTAATTTGGAATTATGCACATAACTATTAGCTGCATTTTTCTATTTCTTCTACAATTGCTAATCTTGCAGTCCCATTTTGATCTATTTGATTTATTTAATTTAGATTGCGAATGCTGTGAACCAAGGGAAGCTTGTTCCTGAGGATATAATTTTTGGTCTATTGTCAAAGAGATTGGAGGATGGTTACTGCAGAGGTGAAACTGGGTTCATTTTGGATGGAATTCCTAGATCAAGGATCCAAGCTGTAAGTTAAAGCATTTACGTTTTGTTGCTTGCAATTTCTCGTTTCCTCTGTGTGTATAACTTGGCCTGAAGCGAGATAGACTCATTGAGAGTGAGCTTCCGTGCTACTCTTTTGGGATATATGCCATTTGGCTCCTCTCATGGATATAGTTTTTGGGCAACTGCAGCTGGGTTCAAAATGAAAGATATACATACCCTTCAATTGTTAGCCCCAATAGCCAAAAAGTTGACTGTTACTCCTATGTTCTTAGGTCACTTAACTTAACCTAATCCGTTGTCATCAATTATAGAAAATTGACTGAATAATTGAAGTGAGATAAGGAGGTGCTGTTGTTGTAATGCTAGGATATTGATAATACGAATAAGATATTACAATGTCCTGGAATTATGTTTAACAAGATCGTTTATGTTGATTGTACATGGTAGCAGGATTTCAGAAGAAATACTAAAATGTAGCTCTTCTAATTGTTTGTTTGCTACAGGAGATACTTGACCAAATTGCTGACATAGACTTGGTAGTGAATTTCAAATGCACAGAGCCCTGCTTGATGAAAAAACATCTGGATGGTGGAATTTATTCTCCTTGCCAAGAATTTCTTAGCACTGGAAACTATGGGTTAAAACTAAACCTTCAGTCAAAGGATGATCAGATAAATTCTTCCTCTGCCGCTGCAGAACATGCCTGGAAAGAGCAACTTCGTAAATATGCAGAGAAGGTAACCCTCATATTTCTCTCACCTAGAAACTATATGATGCCGAATTTGAAATACTTGTTTATGATGTTTGTTGGTTTGAGTACCTATAGCAATCATGTTCTCTTGAACTTGTCATCTATGACTCCTTTTTGTTTTGGATCTTATGTGCTATGTTTTGTTGGGTCTTGAGGACATTTTTCTCAGGATCTGACTTTTTGTTAAAGTTGAGACATTTACAGTCAAGTTGAGAAATGCGACTCTTTTGTTATTTTCTTCAGAAGTTCTTTTCTTATTTTTGTAACTATGGTGAAAGATATTCACATTTTTTAGTCATTGTTTTTTCAGTTCGAATGCAAGCTTGAAAGGATTTTTTGCTAATAGAATATTCTGTTTTTCTTTTAAATCAGAGCAAGCCTTTAGAAGACTACTACAGGAAGCAGAAGAAGCTTCTTGATTTTCAAGTGGCTGGTGCACCTGGAGAAACCTGGCAAGGTCTCTTGGCCGCATTACATCTTCAGCATATGAATGCCATCAGTTCTTCGCAGAAACTGACTGCATGAACTGTCAGATTAAGTTATCCATTACTTCCGATATGTTTTTATAGTAAATAGTAACCACATGAGTGTAACCTGGTCAGCTGGGAATTTACCTCTCTGATATCGAGGATTTTTGTTTACTGAGTGCAATGCATTTTGGTGTTGTAAGAGTTTTGTAATGCAGGAAGCTGAAAACATAAAGTATATCGGCATTTTGAGCATTAAGAGTTGAGCTAATTTTCTTTTCAATTTTTTGGCTTGCTTTTCCTGGTGTTTATTTATAACTTCTATGTTCATTCTCAACTGAAGTTGTTGAAGTTTGTATGCTGACTGCTATTCTAGCAGTTACTTTTTATTACTAACGTTGAAGTGTGTCAGACAAGTTTATATGCCTTATATATTAATGGGAAGGTTCATTTCATTAGCAACTACAAATTAAAGCCAGAAAGTCGGAGCATTTCATTAGAAGATAGCACTTATACAAAAAGCCACTGAGGTTACACCAATTAAGCATTGTTTTGTGAACAACAAAAGCAAATCTTTCATAGCGTTACTAGCAAAGCATTCTTTCACCCGAAACAATGAAGACAACCATGGATCTGAAGGACCATTACCATTCATGCCCCCTTCTTCTGAAGGAATAGATCAGTCAGAATGGTTGTGGACTCGAAGGAGGCCTTTACCAGCTCCAAACCCTGAAAAAACAAGACAAATTTATTGAGAGACCGTAACACAATTGCAAAGAAGCAAATCAAAAGAAGAAGATTCCAACAAGACCTTGCGCATGTCAACACTCACTGTCTTCTCTTGGAGACGAGCAACATCTTTAACATCAAAAGTGTTGAGGACAGTGACACTAGAAATGGTGGACAAAGGTTTCACCTCAAGATCATCCATCACCATGTAAGTCACCACATCCTTAACATACCCCTCACTGTTGTTATTAAACCCAAAACAAACAGTATTACTAGCAGTAGTGCGTCCATCATATGCCAGCTGCTTCAATAGAGGGTTGTGCTGCTTGGAAGTTGAGGCTGCAACTGGTTTCAAGAGTGAGTCCTTGGTCTGCTGGTTTTGTTGCAGATAGGTGTTACTAAGATTCTGCACGCTTTGGTAGATTTTAACGAAGGACCCACTCCTAGGAACCATGTCATGCTCCACCATGAGGCCCACAATGGAACCAAATGGAAGCTCAAGAAGTCCAAACAAGGAGTCCACAAAGTCCTTCCCAGCTTCAGCAAAAAGCACTTTATTTGTGTCCTTGTTTACAATTAGCTTCAAGCTTACTGCTGTTGTTGTTGTTGCCATCTAGACTGCTATGGAGTTTGAAAATGGTGTCTAGGTGGGGTTAAGAAATGTCTTGACATAAACCCTTTTTATAGATAGTTCCATTATTACTAGTACATTAATTACCACTATAATCTACTATCTACCACCTACCATATTCTTACATTAAATTAGACATTTTATTTCCAAGAACAAGGAAACTTACTAGTCATTAATCAATAGTTTATAAACTATAATAGTAATAAAGAACTATAATATCGAGTAGGTGGACTTTTTAGCTAATATAATTATTACGTATTATACTTGTGGCCTGTAACTTTCATTAGTTTTACTTCTGAACATTGTTTAAACTTGATTTTGTTACTCCAAATATTTGCTCTTAGCTTAGTGGAATAATATTTCATTCTTGAGTGAACTCTATGAATAGGTCAATATATTGATTGATTATGAGAGCCTATGATTGAGTGAAGATTACAAAAAATTATCATATGTTTCTAGCTATTTCTGAGTGACCTTGTTCACAAGTAGCTTCAAGCTTATCGTTGTTGTTCCTGCCATCTAGACTGTTAATGGTTGTTTAGGGGGTGGAGAGTAGAAAAACCTTTTTATAGGAAAAAAAAAAAACAAACCCTTGGGATACACTCCTTGATTTAAGAAATAGGTTTATATAGCATTACTCTTCCAAGAAGAATAATTTCTCCTCTTCCGAGATAGTTTCAGTTATTACTACAATGATTAAATTATCGATGTAATATACTTTTTACCACCTACTTTCTTCTTACATTAAATTGGACTTTTTATTTTATTTTTATCTCCGTTTGTTTTGACTTAAAAATAACTTAAAATAAAACCGGTCAATTCTTTCACATCTACTTTCCCTACCGTCTTCAAACATATTGGGGGAGAAATGTATCTGAGGAAGCTCTAATCTATAATGTCATCTACATCCAAGGTAAAGAGATTAAAATAAAAAAATGACATTTATAATTGTACATAATAAGCAGTACAAAATGTGAACAGGCTGCTGACAACTAAATTGTTGACGAGGACTCTTGGAAACTACTTGAGAATATTACATTTGTTGGTGATCCCCATTTTGGAATATAGTACACATTAAGATTCTGTTTGTTTGGATGTAAAATATTTTACATGAAAACAAATAGAGCCTAATTACGAAAGAAGATCATAGAAGTAATGTTTTGCATATTGACTTAAAATAACAACATTCTCCACTTAAAGCATCAAACCACCAATTTAAGCAGGTCCAAACCTTAATACAACGATGAGGTACTACAAAAGAGAGCCAGAAAATCAGAGTATCCAACTAGAAACAGCAGAAATCATTAGTCCATTTTTGCTGTTACACAGCTTAGCTTGGCTGATATACCAAGTTACCAACAAAGTATTGTGTTATCAAACAAAAGTAATCTTGCATAGCATTACTAGCAGAGCATCATTTCACCCAAAATACAAAGACACATATCTGTTTTAAGTTGTTGGATCTGACGCACCATTCAAGCTACCTTGTTTCGGGAGAAAAAGATCAGTCAGGACTGTGGTGGACTCGAAAGAGGCCTTCACCAGTTCCAAACCCTGACAAAACAACAAGAATGCACAATTAACACAATTATTTAGAAACCAGAACACAATGCTGTTACTCAAGACAACAATTGGAAAGATGCAACAAGACCTTGCCCATGTCAACCTCCACTGTCTTCTCTTGGAGAGCACCGACATCTTTGACATCAAAAGTGTTGAGGACAGTAACACTAGATATGGTGGACATGGGTTTCACCTCCAGATCATCCATCACCATGTAAGTCACCACATCTTTAACATACCCCTCGTTATTGTCATTATGCCCATAATAAGTATTACTAGCAGTAGTGTGTCCATCATATGCCAACTGCTTCAATAGAGGGGTATGCTTGGAAGTCGAGGCCGACCTTGGCCTCAGGAGGTTATCCTTGGTCTGCTGGTTTTGCTGCAGATAGTTGTTACCAAGTTTCTGCACACTTTGGTAGATTTTACCGAAAGACCCACTCTTAGGAACCATGCCATGCTCCACCATAAGGGCCACAATGGAGCCAAATGGAAGCTCAAGAAGTCCAAATAACAAGTCCACAAAATCCTTTCCAGCCTCAGCGAAAAGCACCTTCCCAGTGTCCTTGTTCACAAGTAGCTTCAAACTTATTGTTGTTGTTTCCATTTAGACTGTTATGGTGTACGTAGCAATCAGAATGGAGTTAAAATGGTGTTTAGGTGGGGCTAAAATTTCACACACATAATCCCAAAGATCCAGTTCATGAATAATAAATAAAAAAGAAAATCTTAACTCATTGTTCGTCATTCATAACCTGAGCGGAAACACTTTAACAAAAGTCAACCCGTACCGTATGGGTGAAGGTCACTCAACCAAACTTCTACTCAAATTCCATTAAAAAAAATTCCCAAGACAAAACAGAAAATGGGATGGTTGAGAATCTGCGCAACTTATACTTAAGAATTTATAGAAAATTCATTTGACATCAGTTGCTGTGTTATTTTGTCACACCCCAAAGGTAGGGTGTGACAATTAAAAACGTTCAAAAGAAAGTGGGACAGGAATCCAGTGTTGGAACTGAAATATACGCAGCAATTAATATTAAAATTCGTAGAAAATTCATTTCTTATCAGGGCAAATTAACTAAAATTCTTATGAAACTACACTTAAAAGATAAGAGGACTGAGCTACTCCCGGAAACTGATCGATTGTTTCCCAATCAAATTGGTTTATTAGGTGAAGGCGGCCTACACTACAGAAGAAAAACGTATGCTGAAAATAAACCTTTCAACGAGCTTTGGTCTTTTGGAATTAGTAAAAATAAAATTCCAAGGTTTATGTTTTTAGAAAGTAGACACCAAGGAGGGATTAAAAAAAAAAAGAAAAAAAAGAAGGTAAACTCAAGACTCCAAAAAAAGGTAAGGATCCTGCAGCTCCATATATTCTTTTTCAAGATAGATCTCTATTTTGTGTAATATTTTATTTTATTTTTATTAACAATTGAACAGGCTTCTATTTCTTTTAAGCAGAAAAAAATCCTTTTGATCTGAAAGTTCAAAATTATTGTCCTTAAGTTGCATTCTAAATAAAACATATGTCTTCTTGGCATCCTAGAACAAACAACCCAATTCACGCGTGTAAGGATGTGTCCCAAACCGTCCTTGTACTGAACCCAAAATACAGAACATATATATAAACACAACAAATTATCGCATCATAAAAAAATTACACCAATTATACAATGGATATTCAACATGCATGCAGTTTTCAGAAGAACATCAAGATGGAACAAGCCTTTTTCCTGACTGTAAAGAAATTCTATGAGAAATGAATAAATAACTCATGCACCATAAAACTTTTTCAAGAATTCCAAAAAGGAAAAAAATTTAGGGCACAACTCTTGCTCATTTAACATGGAAGAGGAAATGTTCAGGTTATAAAAAAAACAAAAACATCTTAAAACAAAACATGCTACCAAAGACGTACAAACAAAACATGCTACCAAAGACGGACAACAACTCGCCAAAGAAAGAAAAAGATGGAGAAAATCCCTCAAAAATACCAACGTTAGAGAAAGCTTACCAATGGATGATGAGAGTTCCTTCTATTTCTTCTTCTCTGGGCCTTTCTCAATCTCTTCCTCACCCTCTGCTTTCCTTTCCTTTGCCCAGCGTTTCTTTTTATTTTACCGGCAACGGAACAAGGCTGCAAGGCTTAGTTTTTAAAAAGTTGACTACTCCGTACAGAAATTATTTTTCAAATTAAAATTTTAACAATTTATTATAATACTCCGTACAAAAATTATTTTTTAAATTAAAAATGACAGTGTGTGAGGGGGGTAAGAATGGAATGTGAGGGGGCCCACCCACTTTGTCAAAAGAAAAAGAGAGGATGAGTGAGAAAATTCAAAAAGCAAAAGTGAAGAATGGGAAAAAAACAGTAGCTCATGTTATAAAGAAAGTAACCAAAACAAAAAAAAAAGTGTTAACCCCATGTTACGTTGCATTAAGGGGTCCTTTCCCACGTCATCCTAGACTATCGTACTATATTGTGTGGTGTATGTCGGTGGATTTAGTGCGTTGGAAAGACGTAAGGCTCAATTTTTGTACTAAAGTGGGCCCGCAATTGTTTTTTGTTTTTTTTTAATAAGGTTTTTTTTCTTATCACAAGGGTTTGTTGACGTCTGATTTGTTTTAAGCGTTTTATTTTTTATTAAAATATAAATTATATTTTTATTTTATAAATATTTTTAAAAAAAATCATAAAATATAGACAATTGAAATGACTTAACTATTCATAATAATTAAGTTTAAACAGATAACATATTACATAAGTAATATTTACGATTATAACATGTTGAGTTAAATGGTCATAAACGAGTTATACGGGTTGAACTATTCAACCCTGACTCGACACGATTTTATAACCCAAACCCATTTATACCAAACTTAAACCTTTTTAACTCTATCATGTTATCGTGTCGTGTCATAATTTGTCATCCCTAATTATAATGCTTAAAAGCAATTTAAAGTGAAAAAAACCAAAAATAAACCACAACAAAAAAATAAAAAAAGTTCACCGGTGAAAAGAAGCTGGGCCATTCCCTTTAGAAAGGAAAAAGCACTTTCAAATTCTTTTTAAAAATGACAAAAACAAGTGAGAAACATCTGGGCTCAACTGTAGGAAAGAAAAAACACAAAGACGTGATAGTTTGGGCCCATTCACAGCCTTGTATCAAGCTTAGTCTTGCTTCTTCTTTTGGGCCCAAGGCCTCATTGTATATATTATCATTATCAATCACCCCAAAAAAAAAAAAAAAAAAAAGAAGATAAAATATGAGTAGTGATAGATCTTTGGACTTCAATTACCGACTACTCTCCCGAATATAACGTAGTTGGGGATGAGTCGAAGAGAGATATTTACGGAATTTTTTTAAGAGTTCCAACGGGATCCAACTACATTGTATTCAGGTCGACAATTAAAATCGGAAGACCTATCATTTCTCATAAAATATTTATAGAATAGAAACATAGGGAAGAGGGAAATTGAGAAAATGTTGTCTATATTTTAATTACTTTTTCTATACTAGTATTCACTGTCATGGCTAATTAAAAAAAAAAAAAAGAATAACTTTATGAGATATGGTATTGATCAACATTGACACAATATATGAGCTCACGTAAAACTAGTCAATCCTTTCACATTTACTTTCCCTAATGTCTTCAAACATATTGTGGGAGAAATGTATCTGAGGAAACTCTAATCCATATTGTCATCTACATTCAAGTTAAAGAGATTAAAATCAAAAAATGACATTTACAATTGTACACAATAAGCAGTACAAAATGAGGACAGGCTGCTGACAGCTAAATTATGGGCGCGTCAACGGATTTCATGGCTGCAATAAGAAGGAATGTACTTGTAGCTAATATGTCATTCTGTCTTTGTGAAGTTACGACCGTGATGTAGAATCTGATTTTTGATCAGCATCAGCCGTGGCCTGCACTTGAGCAGCATATTGCAAGTTCCAAAGGACATCCTCGAAAGAGGGACGAGAAGATGACTCTGGCAATATGCATTTGTTGGTGATGGATATCACAATTGATAAGGACTCTTGTGAACTAGTCGTTAGCACGATTGGATCCACAATTCGTTGACGACCATCCTGGCTACCGAATGATGTCTGTGATTCATGAAAGCAGGTCTCAGAAATCTACCATCTAAAGCAAAATATTTCAGTGAAAATTCACATTCAAAGCAAAATATCAAAAAATGGCATTTCCTTTTTCTTTGAAGAAAAAGCTCTAGAATCTTGTCCAATTTTCAAGATAAATAAGTTCATGATCTCAATTGACATCAACTAAGACAAATTTTAACTCTGAGCTTCACTTAAATTTTACTGTAACAAAGTACATTGAATTTAATATTGACATCAGAAATTCAATTAATCACAAAGCTATATGAACTTCACTTGTGACATTAATTATAAACCTTAGTACTTGTCGTATTGTGAGAATTTACGAGAAAGATTCAGGGACCAAAATTCAAAAAGAATATCTAGATAGTGTTGATTAAGCTGAAAATGCATTTAATAGTAGCTTTAGCATACCATTTCATTTAGCAAAAATGCTTCTCCTTTTCCACTTACTGAAGGCCCCACAAGTGATTCAAGTAATACGAAACCAAAGTTATATACATCATCCGCTAACTTTGTCATATGCCTGCAAAATAAGCATGCCAAACACACAAATCTTTACAAATATATATATTGGAATATTCGTTGACCTGTTTGAGACTTAGAAACTGGCAAAAACAATAAACCATAAAACCAATTATCAGTATCAAAAAAATACTACAATAACCAGAGCTTATGATCCTTCACTGTAGAAGAATAAAGTGGATCCTTAAAAAAAGTGGCAAGGAAATAATAGCAGTGGCTAAAGGGGAGAGGTATAAAATGTTACTTGTTCAGGCCTACTATATAACTAGTAAACTAACCACCTCCATTTTGAATGTGTCAATTCCATCTCATCCACCCATGTCAAAAACATATATCTGTGAATATGTATGTGAAAAAAAGGTGGGTAAGCCCATTTAGTAGTGAAAAAAGGCAATCTCAATGTTGACCCCCCATTGTGTGAGGTGCTGGGTGGGGTGGGTTGAACACAGACCTAACATGTAGCATTTCTTTGCACAAAGGAGCTATGGACTCAATGAGCTCAACCCCAACATGCATTTGGATTTGTTGTATGAAGATAACATATCAACAATAAGATGCAATGCTATTGGAAAATCATGCATCCTAGTTCTGGAGTTCTGTATTTTTAATCTGCAGGCTCTATCATAGATTGTCCATTGATGGTAATTTCAGATATCAAATCTTGTTTACATAAAAATTAAATTAAATTAAATAGCATTCACTATGCACCCAACTGAGAACATTTCTTTAAGGAAAAGGTTTTTTTCAGAAGGATATTTACCACGATTTAGGGCCATCTCCCTTTGCCTACAAAATGAATAATACTTATGTCAGATATACCACTTGAAATCAAGAAATTTTTGAAATATGAACGAGGTAATCCAAATAATCAGGAAATATACCTCAAGTTTTTCACTTTCTTCTGTGATGATGGACATTCCATAATCGCTCAGCTTAGCAATCCGATGCTCATCAAGCAATATGTTATTTGTCTTCAATCGGTTGCTGAAAGAAGCAGGAATTACCCCAGTATGTAGAAAGTGCACAGCCTTGGCAACACCGATTAGGACCGCCAATCTATCCGACCATTTAAGAACCTTATCTGGACAATTTTCTGCAGCTACAAATATAGTTAGACAAAAGCTCTACAGCTTCCAATAAATATAGTTGCCATGTATTGAAGATTGTTGAACCTAAAGTTTTGAATGGTAAAATTGCCGATCTATATGCATCCTCCTAAACCATCCTTTTTTTCCCGAAGTTGTGTGTAGGCGGGAGGAGGGATTGTTGAGAAAATACAAGACCATGTGACAACATTATCCACCACCCCATGGCCCCCCTGTAGTGCTTTCCAAAGCCAGAAAAGGAATAATTACAAACTTGAAAGCAATCAGGAGGGTTAATAATGGGGGCCTAAGAGTCTCCCCAGCTGGAAACTCCATCTCCCTAAATTTTATATAGTAAAACTCAATAAAGTTCTGTCCAACTATTTAAGTTTGGATTGTCATTCCCATTTGGCCCTCTCCATGTATACATCTTCATATATACTTATGGTATATAATTAAAATATATCAATTTAATCCCAACCACAGAAAGCCTAAGAGAGCATTTCATGTCATTCCACTTGAGCTCTCATTATGTATGCATGTGGAATTTAGGTGAAGTGCCGACACATGAATATGAGAGAATGGGTGGAGAAAGCTCCATGGTTCTTTATTAAGTCGAACATGCGGTTCTTGCATGTGCATGTATGCATTCATGTATGGAAACTAGTTTGATAAAGTATATTATGTTAAACTGACCTGAGAGGTGAGTACGAAAATTCCCATTGGGCATATATTCATGTATAAGGAAGACCCTATTGGCAGTAGAATCTTGTACACCACCATCAATGCAATGACCCAAAAGACTAACCAGATGTGGATGGCGAAGCTTTGAGAGCAAATCCAACCGTTGTTTCAGGTTTTGAATTGAATATTTTTTAAACAAAGTCAGAGATCGTATGGCAACATAGGTCCCATTCTCTAATCTTCCCTTGTAAAGCTGAAAAGATTAATACAAAATGTTAAAGAGGTCCTTGAGCAATATATCTAAATGCTTAATTATATGCATTAAATAGCAATGATACATGTCATCTTACTATCAATGATGAAGGCAAAACAATTAAGAAGGGCTTTTAAATGTATTCTTAGCTCACAAGTATTTTTTATTTTTTTTCATAGTTGGTACTCACACACACATGCCTCCACTGAGGCTTGAACCCCTAACCTCCCTTTGGAAGGTAAGGGGCTGATACCGCTAGGCCACTGGCCCATTGGTAGCTCACAAGTAGTTAGGCCTATTGCCAAGTGATCTTAATTCATATCAAAGAGTAGTCCTATCCAACTCTGGATAGATGTGCAAAGTCTTCGCAGTATGACAACCACTTTGTGTGGTGATTTATTGCAACTAAATGATCTGCCCTTTCCATGAATCAGTGTGTCAGGTTGAATCAGATCATGTAGAGGAAGCAATTCTACAGAATGATTGTCATGATCCATTACAGATATATTTTTGGTCTTTCGGCAGCCAGGGCATGTTAAGTCGTATCTTATCTTCATGTAACTGGAAGTAAACAAGGAGACCTCCAGAAATAACTTGCTACTTTCAATACCTTATGTCTAGAAGAGGAATCCAAATGCTAAATGATCATATCACCAGAGCTTCACAATAAATTTAGTAAAATTAAATAAAAAAACAATCAGCAGCTGCTTAAATGAGTTGCAGAAAGTGGCTTTAAAAAAAAAAAAAAAAAAAAAAAGTGGTATGTAGTTGTTCCTGCTTTATACAGTATAATCATTTCCATGTGTGCTAAGAAGATAATTAAAAAAACACCATTGAAGTTATATAAGCCAAAATGAAATGTTCAATACCTCGGAAGATTCAACCCTCATCTAAATTCTTCATGCTTCAAGCTTTTCATTTAGATTTTAAATCAAAATTTGGCACTTCTGCCTTTAAAGGCAGTCATCACCATTTCTATGTTCACATTGTTCACAAAAAAGATAGAGAAAGAAGGAATAGAAGTTCTTCCATATTGATTTCTAGAGTGAGAAATTTGGGTGTTAATCAAAAGACTCAGCTAACCCACTTCTACTCGGTCACAAAAACTCTATTTCCAAGCTCCTCTCTGTCCTTCGATATTACCACACAGAAAAATAACAAGAGATGTTCAAAAATTTAAATAGTTTCCAACCTTTTGCGGTGGAAATTGCCCTCGTCTATCACTAGTTAAAGATTTTCCATATATGAATAGTTTAATTGCCACATCCCTAAAAAAGATAGCAATTGGTTGAAAAATATTCACAAGAGGTGCTCAATGTCACCAGTTTCTCTGCCAAGAGCATCTTTATGCTCACAAAAAGGATTTTCATCTCTCGGTATGTCTCCATATCAACATTATAGGATTTCAAGATTGAGATTGGGACATTAGTTACATGTGTGGGAAGTTTCTCTAAGAATGTGCCTTAAATAGGACAAGTAACTTATGATTCATTCATCTTCTTATTTTTGGTTCCTATTATATCAACCACTAGAATCCACCCATCCATATGTAAAATTGTACCCATATCAGTTCTAAGGTCACAGATTCTGAGGGGAAAACACAATGCTTGCCATCCCCCACATCCTGCCAAAAGAAGAACTACATAACAAATAAGCATGTGTAATTTTTTTATTGCACAAACCTTATGGCATTTGCAGTCTCTTATTAGTAGCGTGATGATGCTGCCACTGTCTATAACATGGCGGACCATATAACTTCCTCTCCTTTTTGCACTTTTATTTTGTGCAATTCTTTCTCTACAGGTTTTATTGCTTTCCTTATGCTAAATTACTATTCATTCCCACCCATCTAAAGAGCAAAACAACTTTGGAGTAAATTTAAATGTCTGAAAACACAAAACACACATTAGCTTTCCCAATATTGAGAGAATATTTTGCATTGCAGTAATTTCACAGTTTACTAGTTTTTTGTTTTGAATAAATAGTTCTTACTCTTACAGGTAGGCAAGAACCATGATATAATAATTATAAACTACAAAGTGAGCTCACCACAACGTATGTTTCTATAGGAGATTCACAATCCAACCTAGCTGCTATGGGCTTCGTTGGTTCGGTTTTCAAAAAACAGCTCTCAAGAACTAATAAAACAGAAAATAGTTCTCTTTCTGTTTTTCTTTATTTCTCATCCAACTCCAATCCTTTTCGGGAAATCAATGTCACTCATTGTAGCATTATGAATATAATTCTCGTGATTCATGGTAAAACAAGAGAATGACCATCTTAAAATAATTTGATCTTCATCAACTGCCAAAGCATACTGAAGCTATTCAGGAGTACCTTGCCAATGGAGCCTTCACCCAAGAATGTTGATTGATCAAAATTGTTTGTGGCATCACCCAACTCTTCTAATGAAAACAATCGGTATGCTGGAGCACTTTGTGCCCCAAATTTCACTGCTTGAGAAATGAGCCCTGAAGCAAATGGAAAAAACAAAGTGTTTATGAAATCCCCCACACACTTGTGTGAATCTGTAATAAAACTTCTTTTAGAAATTCTGAGATGTGAAACTGAAGTCATATGGGGCACATAAATAGCTTACATTCAAACAGTAATGAATATAATAACACTAGACTCTAACAGATACACAACTTACTGGCATTTGCAAGGAGCTCGGAAGAAATCCCTGATTGTGAATTATCTTGAACAACCTTTTGCGATGAACGCTGCTCCAATATTCCTTGAGAAAAGTTTTTTCTATACAAAATGAGAAGCCCAAAAGCCAAGAGTATCAGAAGAATAACAGTTCCCCCAATGACACCGACTAAGACCCCTATATCTTTTCCTTTCCTCCTTGTATTGCCTTCGTTGCAATATGACTCTTGATGTTGATGTTGAGTATCAATGGACAAGCAATTCCCACCAAACTTAACTACTCTGTTATCATGAGAACTGAGCAAGCAAGGAGGAAGTGCACCAATCAACCTGTTCGAAGAAATATCGACATACCCAAGTTCGGCCCCACAGCTCAGATGGTTGGAAAGTGTCCCACTCAGCCTATTGGATGCTAAATTCAAATAACTGATGTTTGGCAAAGAGAATAATGCAGAAGGTGGTGTTTCTCTCAGATGATTGAATGACAGATCAAGGTGTTGAAGCTGGTTTAGCTTGCCAAATTGTTCAGGAATCTTACCCGAGAATGAGTTCTTGCTCAAAAGAACAGTAGCCAATCCTTCGGGCATGAGTGGTAATTCAGAATCCAAATGGTTCTCTCTTAAATCCAATAAATGTAGACTAGTTAAGGTACTCAAATCGGGCAATTTACCAGAAAGCTCATTGTGAGACAAGGCAATGTCAGTGAGTTTTGTAATTTTGCATAATGAAGAAGGAAAATGACCCTTCAACTGATTGTTCTTCAAGCTCAAAATTGTGAGATTCGACAACGAATCCAACCAGTTAGGGGCAGTGTCATTGAAAAAATTGCTGTCTAATGTCAAAGTGTGAAGCTTCACCAGTCTAGATAACTGAGGTGGAATGGCACCAAAAATAAAATTTGAACTCATATCCAGAAGTTCAAGTGAAGATAACCTATGAATTTTTTCAGGAAGTGGTCCCCAAATACCCAAAGACACTAAACTAATAACCCTTAAGCTAGTTAACCTTGTCAATGTTACTACAAAAGAATCAATAGAGAAACTCTGAGATAAAGTTTGATTGGGAACTGCAAATCCATTGAATTCACTAACCTTGCCAAGCTTATCTCCCATAATTTTGAGCTCTGTGATGAAGTCGTCCTCGCATGTGATGCTCAAACGTGGAGTTGGCAACACATTACACAAATCCCCATTGTAATTTTCCCAAATTTGCAACTGTAAAGGGTACTCCAAATGCTTCCTTAGTTGCAGAAGAACTTGAGTTTGATAGGACTGTAATTGATGGGTACTTGAAATACAGAAAAACCATGAAAGAAACACTATAGCAAAGAACTTCACATACCCCATTAGACAAGTCCTAAGTAAAAGCTTCAGATTTCACAACGGTGAACAAAACCCTAGAGTGAAAACAATTCTGTAGAGTTCACACGAAACAGAGACAGAACCCTCAAAGTTCCTTAACCAGAATCAGCAAAAAAACAACCCCATGAGAGATTTCACCTTGAAATTTTGCTCTTTCAATGAACTAGGACAGACCCAAGTAAACATTTGTCTTTTGTGAAGAATTTGAAGTCCTATCTCAGATGCTCATAGGACGGACACACAAGGTATACTAATTCATTCACAACTTCCAAATTAAAGAAAACCCAGCAAGCATCAACAACCCAAATCTGAGTAAACGACGAAAAAGGGACGAAAAATCCACATGAAATTTTTAAAAAGTCTTACAACTTGGTCAGAAACCCATTGGCCATTAAAGGAAAACATACGGACATGAACGGACAACCTCTATTCCTCCGGCAAAGAAGTTCTGTGCAAATGTCCAGATTTTCCCGGAAAATTGAGAACATAAAACGAAGGAAAATTGAAAAATAGCTACAGAGAAGGCATGAGACAAATTTTGGGAAGAGAAGAGATTGTGTACATGAATGTGGCTACGGTTAAAATAATTGATTGAAGTGAAGCTAATGGAGGTAGTTGAAAAGGCTGTACAGATATCGATAAGGCATTTACTAGTGCTAAAATTGTAGAAGATGGATTTGTGAGGTCTCTGACATTAATGGGTTTGGAGTTGGTATTTCCACAAAAAGGACAATGAGTTTTGCAGTGTCTGTGTGTGTGAGAGAGTTGTAACAGATTAAAAAAATGAGAAAAGAAGCAAGTGACACTGTGATTCTAGAGAAAGAAATGCAAGTAAATGCGTCTGGTTTTTTGCATTATTGTTGAATGTCGGTAAAGTCCAAAGATTATCTTATAATCACAGAAATGCCATTTCTTTTATTATTTCAGCTGAAAAAAAAACTACTCTGTATAACAATTTTCTGTCAGTGAGAAAACAAAATGTAACTCAAAAAATTTGATTGATTGAGTTTTTCTAAAATCATTGTCTAAAAATAAAACTTGGTAAAAAAGAAGAAGATATGTATAGATATAACTTTTTTATGAGTAAAACGCTAATGCTTGCCATCTGATTTTAAAAAACTTAATAAATTAAGGTATTCTCGCATATTTCATAACCTATTAAAAAAAAAGAAATTAATATTATCTCTCATTTGAACTAAGAACGCATTTATTGTGGTATTATTTTTTTTTTAATTTTTTTTTTTTTATAATCGTAAGTGTTCAGGCCAGCTTGCGCACATATCGACTAATCTCTTGAGGCCCTGAAGTTAACGACCGGGTATGCCTCTAGTGGCCCTGCGGAGATTCGAACCGGTGATCATTTGGGAGCAAACCCAAAGCCTGACCAGCCTACCATTGGGTTAAAATTTAAAGTACTACTAAACACAGTCGCACAAGTAACTGTGCATTCACATTCGCACATATGATTAGTTGAAAAATTCAATTATAGAAGTTGTAATTAATGCTTCTTTTTTATTTATTTTTAAATTATAAAACTTTAACTTTTAAGATCAAATTATCATTTTATATTTCTTCTTTTTTTTTTTTTCTATCCTACTTGTACGTATACACTTATATATATAATCATCATTCTTCTTTGCTTACCTACCTTATTCTTTTCTCTCTTTTTCTTTTTTCAATTGTTTTTAACTATATATATATATATATATATATATATATATATGCTCACCGTGTGAATGGTTACTCACTGTAAAAAATTTATGTGAATATATATATATATATTTATATATATAAGACAAGTGAGCAAAAAAAAGAAAGAAAGTAAATAATGAAGTATAGCCATATATATTCAATCAGGAAAGAAAGAAAAAAAAAAAAGACAATTATTAAAAATAAAGAAAAAAAAATAAAGTTAAATATATATATACCAAAGGAAAGAAGGAAGGTTATTAGGTATCAACAAAGAAGAAATAATTTAAAAAAGGTAATTTGGTCTTAAAGTTAAAGTTTTAAAATTCTAAAACATTAGGAAAGACACATTAATTACAACTTATTTTTTAACCAATTAAATGTGCGTCTGTGTTTAACACCCCTCTAAAATTTATGCATAATAAAAGTGTTTGTATGTCGCCCTTCTAAGTTCAGAATATGAATATGAAGTAGAACAAAAACATCTAACAGTAAGAGTTAATATTTTAACCAAGAAATTATCTTACAAAATTAGTAGTAAAATTTATGTTCAAAAAATATGAAGACTTGATTCAAATACAGTCTGTCCACATTTGTCATTTCACAAGCACCAACTTCTGCTGAGCTGAGCATCTCGGAATCAGTCCAAATGAAAAGGTTGCCAGTGGGAATTGGGCTGACTGTCATAGGCCCTATATCTTCAGAAAAATGGGCCCACCAGTGACTGCACAGGCTGTACTGAATGCGAGGCCACGTTGCAAGGTAACGGTCGTTAGCATCCCCATGATGGTAAATCCATATAAACTAGGCCCACGCGCATCTACGTTTCGTGGGATGCCTCTCTGGCCCACTGATCCTTTCTTTAAATTTGTTTTCTTTTTCAAATATTTACAAGCCATACATCTAATAATTAAAAATATATTTTTATAATCTTTGTTGAAACAAAATTATATATAAATAATTAAACAAAAATGTGAATACAAGTTTGTTGATGTTTTGGAGTGAAAAAAATTGGAGAAGTTTCTGGATTGCTTAGTTTCGTTTTTTGAGAACAAATTTTAGTTTTTTTTAGGTTAAAAAATTAAAAAATTATACAAAAATCTGATTAGTTAACAAATTTTGAGAATTGTTTTATAAAAATTTAGTTAAAAATAAATCATTTCTAAATAACTATATTTTATTAGTTCGTAAAAATAATTATTTTTATTTTTTGAACTCTTAAAGAGTTATTTTTGAGTAATAAATCAAGTAAAATCTTCATTTCATTTCTCTGTTCAGTATGTTTAATATAATTTTCTTTCACGCGCCTGAAAAGAAGAATAAATAAGTATGCAAAATTTTTTTGAGGTATGGATGGACCAAATGAAACAAAAAGCAATGTGTGCTGTCTTGGTCCAGACAAAATGGTAAGTTTGCTTTGGACTTTCTTTTGAGAAAGATTATCATGTCTGAAACTCTGTGTATTAAAAGTAGACACCCAACTATTTAAAAGCCCCTCTGAGATACCTAGTGTTGAAAAAAAAAAAAAAAATTGTATTACCAAAGGAGCATTTAGTTAAAGTTCTATTTAACAAACACAAAAAATAAAAATAAAAATAAAATGTAATTTATAAATAAATTAAAAAAAATGGAACAACTATATATATATATATATAGTATTTTATTTGAATTTGACATCTTACATATAAGAATGGAATAGCCTGTGGTACCACATCCCAAGAATCTCTCAACTATTTAATGATCAGTCAGGTAGATTCCCCTAAGTTACATAAAGTGGGGAGCGAGAGCGAGAATAAATTCGAAAGCATAAATATGAGAGCGATAGAATTAAGTCATAAATAATGAAAATTTGAATCAGAACGGGTGTGTGCTTGGAGCGTCAAAGTAACACCGGTTAAAAAGAATTATGTAACTTAAGATCTCTTATCACATTCCAACGGTTTAGAGCCCCCGTGGTAGCAGATCGCTAGTAGAATTTTCCCTTATGCACAAAGAACTCCTTTCGAATTGAGCAAGACGGTTGATTGGAGGGCATAAGGGTAAATTTTATTAATTTAAAGCATTGAAAGTACAAGATTAAATAATTAAGAAAGTGAGTCAAAAAGATGCCTAGATATCAATCTTTAATTTAAGGTTGAGCTAAGCTTTATATTTAATATGATTAGTTGGACCCACATCCTCCTAAGGAAAGAAAGTTCCACAAGTAACGTTCATGTACTGGTAAATAAATAAATAAATAAATAAATAAAGGTGCACAAAATGGCATTATATTGTATACATGCTCCAACATTACACTTCACATTGTGTGCATAAATACCAAAGTACCAGTCAAAAGGTTACGCAAAAATAGCATTAATTATAAAGAATCTAAATTAAAACATAACTCATGTGCTGTTGCGACATGAAGTAATGTTTTATTGTTTTAGATCCAATGATTTTTTTTTTTTGGCATAATTAACATATTATATTAAGGCAACGATGAATGATTAAGAATATAATTTAATATTGACAACAAAGACAAACATGTAGTAAAGGATAAAATACATATTATTATGACCTTTCTTAAATCCATTAGCAGGAGAAGTCAGTAATGATATTATATTATAATAATATATTATATTATATTTTATACAAAAATATAACAAAATTATCATTTTATAAAATTTCGTGAACAGAAAAGAAAATGTTAAGAGTGGTCAATAAACGTTTAAAATTTTATCGGTATTTAATTTGTCCAAACTTAATCACTGTAACTTGCCCATTATTAAACATAAACTTCACTATTCAAATAACCTATATAATTTTTAGGGAGAAGGGTGAAAATGATGCTGCCCTACAAATGATCCAAGGTTTAAGGCATGAGACCATAGAATGGGAAGCATACGGGGACCCGTGTATGAAAAAGAGTTGCATGTTACAATTTAACAAACACAAGTGGTCCAAAAACTTGTATACTTCGTAGTGTATCAATGCATCAATTGCAACATCAAGCCTCGAGAACTTTATAATAAATTTTGAATTGAAATGTCAAACTTTTATAATAAATTTTGGATTGAAATGTCATCCGTCCAATTTAGCTGTATCCATTCAGTCATGTATAATAATATTAATAAACAATATAAAAATGCATCATGAAAGCCTCTATGCATAGCAAAACTCACAACTATATAGAAACCAAAATGCTAATTTGCATTTGTGTAAGTCAATTGTGTTTGATATGATGCTAAACATTAAAAGGGTGTACTGACCTGCTCCAGTTGGTACATTTTACATCTCCAATAGGCATTAATATGAGATTCAAAGGCTGCACTGGGAATACAGATTTTTGCATACCATGATTTTTGTGTCTACTCCATATATGTGTGTGTGCGTGTGTTTGTGGTGTTCACCACTTGACTGGTTTTGTGGGGACTCCAATGGGGATCACATCCAATTTATGAGCTCGAATAGATTTGGTAAAAATAAGATTCTCCTCTAACAATGAGCTCTAAATAAACTTGGTAACAAGCCTCAACAGGGAGGGTAACAAAGATATCAGAAGCAACGCCAGCCAGAAGCAACGGTGTTGATGGAGTCAAATGAGTCCCTAAGATTAGCCATCACCTATCTTGGCGAGGACATCTGCACACTGATTGCTCTCTGAGAGTGTTGCTAAGGTGACACACTACGACTTTGGCCTGCAGTCAGAAATGGGAACTCTGTGAGTGAATCCACATTGTCATCGTATTTAAGGATGGCAGAATTCTGGCTGTGCTATTGTCCAGTGAAGACATCGAACCAATCAGAATAAAACATGCACTCTCTAGACAAGTCGGTTCTCATACCACCACTATTCGTTGGAGAAGAAAATATAGAAGTTAAAATAAACCAAATAGATCTTTCTAGGTTTCTTATCTTTAGCTTTCCTAACCATGGCGTCAATGAACGCAAAATATTAAAAACTATGATCTTCATAAAAAATGGATTTGGACAAAATAACTACTATTAGACTAAATTATATATTCTCCTGCTTATCAGCATTAACCATTAGCACTATATCAGATATGGATGGTATTGACCCTGTATTTCAAGGCCATTTCCCATCTAACATGGGATTCCTTGAGAGGGTATTCTTTCCAAAACAGCTCTAAGCGCCAAATCTTCGTCGTGCCAAGGACTACATGTCTCCTTTGAAATATCAGCCACTAACCTCAAAATTTCTCTAGAATCCTTGATCACATAGACAAAGTGAGACCAGTGATAGGACTTCTTCCAAGCTCCATTAAAATAGACCATCCAGCCATCATTGCGTCCAAGAAAGAAATTTCCCTCATAAAATTACATCTGACTACATAGTAGAAGAAGAACGATCAATGACACCAAAAGTAAACTCTGGACCAAAATTACTCAAAATCAATCAATAAATTATTTTTCTGCATTTATATCTAATTGCAACCTCTATAGAGCCTAAGAAATAAATACACATTGTCTACGAAAATACCTAAACCAATAAAAAAACTATAATAATTTAAATCTTAGAAGAAGAAGAAGAAAGAAAGAAAAATATAGTGGGGGGACAAATAAGAAATATTTGCCAGATTTTGTCAGCAACTTCATGATGGCCAAGGAAGGTGGATCAAAAATATCATTTCAATTTTCGGTTTGTTTGTGGGAGCAGAATAATGGGCAAAACAAAAGGGATTATCTCAAATACTGGAGAATAAATTAGGAAACTGATCATTCAAACATATTTTGTTACCATTTGTGACCTAGAAATAAGAGAATATTACTACAGGAATATGTAGTTCACCATAAGAAAATTTCTTCCTTGCCAAATATCAAAAGAATCAAATTAAAGTGGAACAATAAGTAATAAATTACAAGTGTAACCAAAAAACCTGAGTAGTGCAATGGTAAAAGTTACGACTAGTAAGTGTGGAAACCAACAACCGTGTGTAGGTGGGAGATACACTGGGTAAGGCCGTTTAGAATATGTAACAAAGAATGAATTTAAGGTCTTTGAAACCAAATCGAAATGATCCATGAGACTGTTTTCCACTTTTCCTCAATTCAAATATCCATACCCAATTAAGCTAGTTCTGGTCGGTAGCATGCTGCATATAACTTCAAAATATACCAATCAGAAAATGTGAGCCCTAAGTTCTTCTTTCATCGAAAAATTGCATACTAATAGATCTCTCATATGCAAAAGTTAAATCCAGAGATAAAGTTTTACATAATATATGAACGAACAGACAGGTTAGGACACCTAGCCAAAAAACCTCATTGAACTTATTAGAGGATTACTTCTTAGATGGCAGACCTTAAATGCAGCCAAATCATTTTAGTAGAAAGTCAAATACACCATATTTTTAGTCCCCTGCTGTAGCCAGCATATCTAGCAGTTACTCACTTCTCTGATTGCACGTTGTCCTACGATCTAGTATTGAATCCTTGAAATCCTATTTCACCTTTGTACGCTTTGATTACCTCAGGAGCTACCTCCTTATACTTGGTCAAAAACCTGGTCTCAAAAATCTTTTTCTTACAAATTAACACCCAAACCACTTCTACATCCTTCCTAATCAAACCCTTTGACATCAGAACTTGCAGAACAGAACATCTTGGGATGATTCTCCTTTCCAAACTAGTTAGAAAAAGATTTGGGCATTTAGCAGTATCTGATGCTCTTAACCCCGCCTTATTCACGAAGAAATCCATCAGTTTCTTGATCTTCTTCTCTGAGGTAAGCATACATCCCGGTTGCACTTTGAATGCCGAATTAAATTGGCTTTCGGACCAACCAAAGCTCATATAAGCTTCCTTCTTCTTTTCCCAATTTATTTTGCTAATTGTTGACATTGCACGGACAGCCAATAAGTATGATCTACTTTTGGGATCAAAACCCATTTCTTTAACTGCATCAGTAATCTCTTTAAACACATCAACTCTCACCGTTAGCGCTCTAGGCTGCAACATAAACAATTTTCCAATATGTGATTCAGGCACACCATGAGCCCGCAAGGCGTAGATGTTTGGCAGCATAACTTTTTCAGTGCTGCACCGACCGCTAGATTGCTTAAGGGCACGAATTAAATCCTCATTTGTGCTAATGTATTGCTTAAGGAAATTAATTGTGGGTTTGATTCGGTTTTCTAAACTGCCCTGTAAGATGCTACTTGAACAGAGACAACTAGGCAAATCAGGTCCAAAAATACCCAATGATTCAAAATACTCAATTTTGGGTCTCAAAATTCCCTCCGGATCAGCCAAAATAAATTTTGGGTATGTAGAAAATAGGCGTGAAATATGATTTTCAGTGAAGCCATGCGACCTTAGGAGCTCAAGAACCGAGTCCGATTTCACTGTGCTTTTAATGTTGATCTTCTTAGAAGCTGAGATAGCAGTTTCTAAAGACAACCCACACGACTTTGTGAGGTACGAGACCGTGAAAGCTTGTTTCTCTGTGAAATTTGAGTTGTTTGCAATAGATTGGGTTTCGAAAAAACGAACAAATGTGGGTGTAATATGATTGATTCTGTGATGTATGAGAGTGTCGCATATGAAATGAAAGATGGGTGATACAGACTTACAGGATCTGAAAGCCATAGGGTTGACCGATTTGAATTTTAGCCCTCTGTCCCGTGCTCGATCTTCCACAAGTTTCAGAGAAAACCCTAGTGAGAGAGCTAGCGAGAGAGTGAAAACCCTAGCGAGAGTGAGAAACGCATACACCCCTGTAAAGCGTTTAGTAAAATTTTCGTCTTTTTTTTTTTTCAGTCCCAAACAAATAGAAATATAATTTTATTTTTTTAATAAAAACATAAAACAAAAATAACATTTATAGTAAGGTTGTGTTTAGTAAAAAAAAATGTTTCTTATTTTTTGTTGTCAACTTTTAAAAAGACAAAACGAAATAAAAATCTCGTTTAATAAATAGTTTTTATTTTTCTCTAATAGAAAATGTTTTCAATTTTTATGAAGAAAAGAGAAAACATAAAAATGATACTTCTTATATTTTTGACACTATAGCACAAAAACGTTTTCACTAATGTTACTACACGGGCACTATTCATTTTAAGTAAAATTCATATTATTTGTGTTATATACTAAGTTGCATATTAAATCTTAATAAAAATATATATTTTTAATATACAATATATTAAATATTGTATATTATTTTTTATTTGATAAAAATATATTTTAATATATAATATATTAAATAATAATGTAAAATATTTTTTGTGGCAAAATAAATTTTTATATAATATATAATGTCATTAAATTATTAAACAGTAGATATTTTATATTATTATATATCATATCTATATTATATTATATGTAAATATTAAATTATAATTAATTTATAATATTATAACACAATATATATTTTATTACATATAAGATATATTATTTAATATTTTTTACTCATAATAAATTATCATATGTTAAATATATTATATATCACATAATAAATGTATACATCATGCTTATACATGTATTTTGCTTTTGCCACAATCTTAATAACAAAAAATAGAAAATAGTGAAATGAGAAATTTTTTTTATTAAGAGAAAATAAAAACAAATTAGTAAACATAATTTTTGTGTTTATTTCTCTTTTTTAACAATTGACAACATAAAACAAAAAATATTTTCGGTTACTAAACACACCCTAAACTAGGCATAAACTGGATCATCTATTGTTTGGGCTGCAAAAGTGCAATGGGCTCACATCAAGGGTCCAAGAGGGGCTGCAAAAGTGCAATGGGCTCACATCAAGGGTCCAAGAGAGAGAGAGAGGAGGTTTATAATCACATCATTTGTTTGCGTATTTTTAGAACAACGAAAAATAAATAAATAATGTTGATATGCACATTTTAAAATAAACTTGCATTTTAAAGAATCTCTGTTATAATTAAACAAAGTTTGTCATGACTTAGGAATAAAAATTCGTAAAAGAATTAACAAGACAAGAGAAAGATGTTGAAAAGATTTTAAATAAATTATGAATTGACCAACAAAACAGACCTGTACACATTAATCTCATGTATTAAAGACATATCATCCAACTAACAACTCATATCTTTTTCCTTGTATCTATCATTTAAAACATGCCACATAATTCTTTAAAACGGGAAATTATGAAATAGCTCCGGATATGATACTTCCGGACACCTAGAGTTATTGGATGATGGATCTAGGTGGGCTTCATCACATTTGAGGGGTGGGATGATTACGGGGTATTTAATATTTTTTCAAAACAAAGAACTTAAAATTTACACTTAGCCTGTGTTTGGTGGTATGGAATTGAGCCTTGGAATTGGAGAAATTTCATCAATTTCAATTCCAAAATGATTATCAAATATAGCCTTTAGGGTGTGTTCGGTTGCATGGAATTAGAATCTTAGAATTAGAATTGGAATTGGTGAAATCGGAGAAAAAACAATTAAAGTGTGTTTGGCTGCATGGAATTGAAACTTTGAAATTGACATTCGTAAAATTTGAGAAAATTTGGTTCAATTTTCTTAATTGTTTTTCTAAAATTCCACAAATTCCAATTTGAAGGCTCTAATTCCATGGAACTGAGCACATCCTTAAGAAAATTGAATCAAAATTTTCTTTAATTCTAATTCCAAGGCTCCAATACCATGCTGCTGGTATGTTCAGTTGCATAGAATTGAAATTTGTGAAATTGAAAAAAAATTTGGTTCATTTTTGTGAGTTATTTTTCTCCAATTTCACAAATTTCAATTCCAATACTCCAATTCCATACAGCCGAAGGTGTATTTGGCTGTATAGAATTGGAGTCTTGGAATTAAAATTGGTGGAATTTGAGAAAAACAATTAACTAAGAAAATTGAACCTAAACTTTTTCAAATTCCACCAATTTCATACAATCGAATACACCTTAAATATTTAAAAAAAATTATTTTCCTAACATAGATAATTCGATCAAAAGTAGTATTTGTGAATTTAAAGAATTTGGTCGATTTCGAATTAATGAATATTACTAATCAATTGATATAAAGTTGTGTTTCTTGGATCTCAAGATATAAAATTTTAAATGTTCTATCTTCAAGCATCATAAAATTTTGTGATCAATTTTATAAGAAATAGCTAGAAATCCTAAATTTTTCCAAATAGAATCAAAACTTAACATTAATGAATTTTAAAGAAAACACAAAGAACCTAAACAAATTTAGAGAGGGATGGGAGGAATGAGGTTCCATGGTTATGGGACTGTGGGTGTGAGGTCCATGGTTATGGGACTGTGGGTGTGGAGAAAGAACGGTGGAGTCGTAAATTGGAGATTTGGCTGACCATTTTAGTTTGTATAGTTGAACACACTGTTTATTGTGGAGAGAGAGAGATTAAGGGTCAGTTTGGTGCAATGGAGAAGGAAGGAAACTGAAGGAAAAGTGATGGAGGAGGATTAAAAATTTGTGTTTGGCAAAAATTGTTAGAAGGAAAGTGAAAGAAAGGTAAGGGTTTGGAGGGTTAACAGAAGGCTATAATAGTAAATTTCTTAACCTCCCAAAAATGGGAGGAAATGAAGGGAAAAGGAAGGAGAGGTTTGGTGTGTGATTTCTGATGCCAAATTTGCCCTTGATTATATATGAATTTAGTTTGCAAAACAAAAATTACAGACCTTGATTAGTTGACTTAGCAGTCGCAGAGAGAGAAGGGGGTAAGCTTGAGAGTTGAGAGAAAGAGGGCCAGCGGCTGAAGTTTGTGAACGGCAAACCCGAATTGGAATAGCGGGCGATGGAAACTGAAAGATCGATATGGGTTTTGATTTTTTGAACAATCTGAAATTGGGTTTTGATTTATTAAACAATCTGAAATGATGCCGATATGGGTTTTGAACTTTTGATTCTTGCAGACAAGTATATAAACTGAAATATATAGGTTTTGAACTTGTGATTCTTGTAGTAGTTTGCAGTTGGAGAGAGAGAGAGAGAGAGAGAGAGAGAGAGGGCAAGTTTAGAGTTGAGAACAAGGATAGAGATGGAGGCTCAAATGATTTGCCCTAAAAAAAAATTTCATTTTCTGGTGGCCGATCCATGGGCCTTATAGGAGACAAATATATATATAAATTTATATTTTAAAATATAAAAGGGCATAATAGTAAATTTATTAAAATAATTCTCCTTCCTATCTTTTTTTTTTTTTTTCCCCAAACATGATTATTATCATTCTATTTCTTTTCCATTCAATAATCAACTAAACACGATAGGAGATTAAAATTATCATTCCCTTTCCTTGTCCTCATAACTAATGTTATCCTCTCCTTTTAAACCCACCGTACAGCAAATAAGAGGACGGGAGAGATAACAAAGAGGGTCTAAGTAGATGGAAGCTTTGTAATTTCGATTTGATATTAATAAAATTCCCTTCAAAACTATTAAGTGTTTTTTTTTTAACGTGAAAGTGAGAAAATTTTAACTTATGATAACTTAGAGATATTTTAACTAAAGAATTCTGGTCCGCCATGCTCATATTCTTGTAACTTTCCATTAATTGGAGCAATGACACTCCTAAGGGTTAGTTTGGTTAGCGTAAAAAGAAAGTTTAGGGTTAGTTTGGTTAGCGTGAAAAAGAAAGTTTTCAGGAAAGTAATATTCCCGCTGATTGATTTTCCTTAAAATGTTTACTCTATAAAACACGCGAAAATTTCAGTTTCGCATGAAAATTGTATCATTATGTGTTAGTTTCCAATTATCTTGTCAGTTATTTCTCTTCCTTCTTTTTAGACTCATAAAAGGAGTGACTTATTTTTGATAAATTAGGACTCTTACTTGTATTACAGCTTTCTAACTCTTTAAATTACGACTCCTAATTAACTTACGCTTTAAATTAGGACTATATATATATATGCACGCACATATTTTTATTCATAAAATAATTATTTATATTTTTTATTATGCTTGTTAAATGATGTATTTTACTTGATTAAGTTTTAATTTTCCGACTCTTTAAAATAGGACTCTATATATATATGCACGCACATATATTTTTATTCATAAAATAATTATTTATATTTTTTATTATGCTTGTTGCAGGATGTATTTTACTTGGTATTGAATTCATAAGGGTAATTTTGGTATATAAATCATTTTCTTTTCACTTTTTTGCTAACCAAACTAATGAAACAACATTTTCCCACAAATTTTTTACAAAAAAATCATGCTAACCAAACATAATTTTCTTTTATTTTCCTTCACTTTCTTTCTCTTTCACTTTCCAACATCAATTTTCGGCTAACCAAACGGACCCATTCGAGAAAAAATGATTAATAACCCTTGCGCCACTCGAGCTAATGTTTTGCCTGGTCATATTCAAATCTTACACAAGCAATCAAAAGAGATTATTAGATAATCTGAGACCATATAGTCCCAGCCAATCAAAAGCTACTGCACAACCAATTAGCCAGCTTTATTTAGTTTTTTGATTACGTGGCAATTTGTGACTGGCCAAGTGTAACACCCCCACATTTCCCACGCATAAGTTGATCAGGCTTATACACGAAAAACGAGGGATATCAAAAACAATTGGCAATATACAAGCATGGAATACAAAATGATGGAAATAAAAGAATTTAGACAGGA